TCCTGTCGGCGAGCCTGCTCCTGTAGCATCGTCATCACAAAACCTAAGTCAAGTGCTGCTGATGCAGGGGCTGCCGAAGGGTCAGCCTACAGGAGGAACACCAATTGTTACGAGCTTGGGGCTCGAGATAATTAAAAACTGCCGAGTGAATTACCAAAATTGTACTCTGTAATTACAGAACACTAATTACAACCTAAAACCACACTAATAACAAAATACAATTGTACTACTGATTACTTTAATACGCAGTTGTATCGCTTCAAAGTATTCTCTTGTATCACCAATTCAATACCGACCCGGGTCGCGGTCTACACCAGCCTTATGTAGGGCATCAGATAGTTCCGGAACCTTCTACTGTAAAAAAATCCAAAATGTTTTCCCCGACGACAAAATGTTCCCGACTGACTAGGTGTCCATAGTCCTAGAAAGTTCTTCAATGGAAATTTCATTAATCAATCAGTATTTGTGCATGATATAAAATTAGGATAATTTGATAATAAATAAGCTGGTTTTATAATGTCCTCCAGGCCGAATTTCGGTCACGGCGGCATGCCTCAACGGAGGCTAGCCATCGGAGTAGGACAGGATTATAGCGCCCAAGTGTATGCGCAAGCACAGGTGCACTCTCTATTCTCTCACTCTCATAATCCGATGGGACGTTAAACCAACATGACCGGAGAGAGATCAGGCGCAGGACCAACGGCTTTACGTGCTTTCCGAGGCACGGGGGTGAGACACCACCAACTTCCTGACTCCGGGCAGCTACTGAGAATTTCTTGACAGAAAAACTCAATAATTGATTTTTGGCCCGACCCGGGATTCGAACCCAGGACCTCATGATCAGCAGTCGCACTACTACAACCACTAAACCAACGAGGAAAGAAAGAAAGAAAGAAAAGAAAAACCTTTATTCACTGGAACTGTACATATCACAAAAATAAAATAATAAACAGTTAAAATTTATCAAATTAATATTACAAGTGATGGGGTGTGTATCGAGCCAGTGAAAAGGTTATGACTCAGCGTAATGCTGCAGGGTAACCTACAGCGCTGATGATTCTGCCATAACCACAGATACACGCACGATCCGCCTGGGTGTATTTTATCAAATACGTTTCCATAGTAAAATTAAAACTAAACGTTGCTCATCAATATACCTATAAATAATTAGTCCCACGTATAAGTACATTAGAGATACACACATACGTAGAAGACATATTATACACATAAATTTAATATAAAAATGAAAAAAATAAAAATTTCAAAATACGTACACATATACACAGACACATATATAACACACACACATATATACATATATACATACACATACATATACATATATACATATATATATTCGGTAAATACATACTAAAAACAAACATATAATGCTCAACGATGCTGGAATAAACATCTGCTCTAGACTTAAGGTTGAGCTTTTTGTAAGTGTAATAAATGATTTTTATAGTGTGATTTAAAATTATACCTTGAATTACACTCACGAATAGGTGGAGGAATGTCGTTCCAGCACCTAGTAGCTATATATTTGAAACTACCTCTAAAAGCTGCAGAACAGTAAGTGGGGTTGGCAAGTGGGTTCGTACAAGACCTGATGTTTTGTCGATTTCTCCATATAAGTTTACTATATAAATATAGTGGCGACTTAGTTTTCACAACATCAAACAGTAAATTAGCTAGGTGTAGTTTCTGCCGCGCTTTCATTTTTAAAATGCCTGCTTCATTGAAAAAAGGTGTTACATGAGACCGTTTCGGTATTGAGAAGCGGTATCGTGCACATGCATTTTGTATACGTTGAATTAGACGTTGTGACTTTTCCAAAATACAGGGTCCGTACACTGCAATGCAGTGGTTTAATTTTGATAGAACGAGAGATTCACACAGTCTAATTCTTAAGTCCAGCTGAATATATTCGCGGATTCTGTATAAAACCTTTAACCTATAAAAGCAGGTGCGGACAAGCTCAAGTAAGTGTTTTCAAAACGCAGTCTGGCATCCATAACAAGCGAGGGTTACGAGCTTCACTTACACGCTCCAGAGGGACATTTAACAACATGATTTTAGGGTTTTGATTCTCTAAAAAAATTATTTGGTTTTTCGATCCTAAAAGAATATACTTAGTCTTTAGTGGGTTTAGAACGAGGGAATTTTTTGTGACCATATTGCAATTCGATTCAGGTCCTCATTGATGTTACTAATTGTAGTATGAAATTCAAGCGAATTGCAGGAAAGATACACTTGTAGATCGTCAGCATAAAGGTGGTATTTGCAAAAATGCATGCAATTAGTTATATCAGCAGTGTAAATTATAAATAACAACGGTCCTAAAATAGGCAGTCAATATTAAGAATATTAACCCAGTTTTTTGGAATATTTGATTTTTTTTAAATAATCTATAATAATTAGTTACATTGACTGTTTAATTAACCATTTTTGAGTCGATTTTTTGCTCACCAGTATATGCAGGTTTTACTTGTTTACGAAATTAATTTAAAAAATCTCAAAAATTCTGTCCTTTTTATGTTTTGAATTCAAAATATATGGCAATGCATTATTTTATCGGATTGTCATACATAAATATCTAACACCTACTATTTTATTACGCACGCACACATTCGTAAGGGTCGATCGGTCGGCATAAACGTTAATCGAATTGCAAACAGAGGATCGCGCGTAGTTGTTGCTCAAAAATCACATTCAATTTGGGATAATTTTATAAAAATTAGAAACCTTATTTACTCGTATTTAAAAACTGCAATAACGGTATATCATTATTTATATATTTGAACTTAAATATAACTACGAATGAGATGTTCCAAAATGTATGGAGCCTGGGCCAGATCCTTGTACACTATACTCAAAATTATTTAAATGGTTCTCAACTGTCTTACACTTGAAATTGCAGCACACAACAAAACCCCGTCATTGCGGTAAGCTGTCATTTGTATTGATTAGTGACGTTTGACATGTTTATTTCACGTATTTTTGAGGCTGTTGTGACAACTGACAGTTCTCTTTCTATGATCAATCGTCACTTTATGTTTAACTCTGTCATTGGGTGCGTTTGGCAGAAAAAAGCGCTAGCAAGCGCTTGTAAGCAAAATGGCGATCGTAAGCGGTAATCGCTGTCAAATCGTAAGTAGCTATTTTCCTCTAGGACACGATGTTAGTTTCAACCGGGGAACCTAACCTAATTTAAATACATGTTTGTGAAGTATTCATATTAAAAACTTACCAATCATGAATTTTTAATAACGTATAATGTCTATTCATGTCATTATATTACTTAAAACTAATATTGCAAAAAACAACTTATAAACTCTACTTCAAAACAAACAAATTAAATAAGCAAAATGGCGGATTGTGTCAGCGCTACTGAAGTAGCAATCGTGTCCTGGCCGAAAACTATTTTAGCGCTAGTAAGCGCTTGCTAGCGCTTTTTTCTGCCAAACGCACCCATTGTCTATAAGCACATAGTAACTAAATCGGTAAGACGCCATGTTGAAAGTCGATAAAAATAATTGATAAACATCAATTGCCTACCACGACAGGATTACATTTAGTAGGGTTGTCTCTATTTTTTCCGAATTCTACAGGTTTTTCGCTTTTTTTGAGGTAGTGTACATAGACCTGGCCCATTTTGAAAAATCTACTTTAGCTGCTCTTTAAAAAATAACTCTGTATATATAATATTGATATACAATACCTACATCAAATTTAAGTGTCTGTCTGCGATATTGAAATTTAAGCTAAGGTAGTTATTTGCAAGGCATTCAGACATGAATAACCATTTTTTTCTGTTTGACCGAGCTATCTTCGGATTCCGAATCGGTTCAGTGATTCCGAATCACTGAACCGATTGTAATAAAACGTTATGATCAGATAGAGGGCAATGCCAGGAGTGATTTTGGCGCATGCATCCGTATAACTTTGATTTTTTGAAAAAAAAAAGCAAATGATTGTTTACTCTATATATAAAAATCAATTGGTGTCTGTTAGTCTCGCTAAAACTCGAAAATGGCTCGTTTGATGGATTTTTTTGTGTGTGTGGGTTTTTTTGAGTGGGTGAATTGAGTGGGTGCGTTCCTGGATGGTTTAGATTCACAATTGGATCCCTTCTCTGATCCAGAAACCACCCGTGTAAACCGGGGGCGGATCGCTTGTATAAAATAAATGTGTTTTTGATTATTTTAACTTTAATAGACCACTTTAATAGATCTTACTTCGGCCAAGTCGGGTGCGTCGCTAGTATGAGATGAAATTTGTTTAAATTTTTATTAAGTTTTCACGTCTTTTACCGATAACGAAATTTATAAATAATGTTGAATTTTAATATCAGTATATTTTTAGTTTCCGTAGATTATATCACAGTTTAAAGATAGTCTAATAGTTCTGAAACGCTTTTGATATCAAGCGATGCCGCTTCCCGCGTAGGATATACCTGAGCGGCGTGCGAAATTGGGATTAAATTAATTTTATCATTTATTATCATTTATTAACATTATGTGCATACTTATAAGTTAAAAACATTAACTGAACAAGATCATTTTTTATTATTAGAAAAAATATAGTTACATGGTTGCACTGCCAAATATTTTCGTGACACTTCCTTTTACGGATGTTTTCAGTTTTCGATTGTTAAATTTAACACACACTCGCGCCGGCCGCATGTATTCTACGCAGACTTAGTGGATGCACTGGCTCAAGGTCGCGCTGCCCCCTGCCCCGCAAGGCCCCCACAGTTGCTCTGCACAAGTACATTCGTTTCCCAACTGTTACACTATTATTAAACTGCGGTAATATATTAAAGCTTTATAATCTTTACAAGAAAATATACCAAAGGAATCTGTTGTTGGTGATAGTTTCTAGATTTCAAGAGTATAATCATTTATTTTAGTTAAATTTTTGGGTCACTGTTATTACATTTCTTTGAGTTAACTAAGATCGTGTATTAATTTTGATATATCCAATACGATTTTCAGGAAATGTGCATTTTAATATTGGCAGTGGAGGTGAGCGGCGATCAGTTGAGCCCTATCAACGTAGTTGGACTGTCGCTATGTTTATTGGGGATAATCGGCCACATTGTTCATAAGGTGTTATTCATAAAGGCGGTCACAAGTACTGTAAGGGCTCTCAAAACTGACAACTTCGATCAAATAGGTAAGACAAGGCCTCCCAAACAAGCTGGAGAACACAACATGCCGCTTCTGGAAGACTTGAAATGCCAAAGCGGAATGAGCGAGGATAGCGACTTGGATACAAATACTATATTACATGAAATACTTCAAAGAAGAGACGGAAGATAGAACTAAATAACTTAACTAAGCACAACATAAATCCACCCAAATTTTCGAAATTCCAATTATAATTTACCTAGCTTTCCTTATAGCACTCCCTATGTCTACTTTCTGTGCAAAGGTCATATGATTACAATGTCTTCTTATAGTAAAGATTATGTATAAAAGGCTAGTTATACACTCAGTTGTTATATCAACTAACGTTGTTCATATAAAACAGTGATAAAGATTATAATGCAATATCAGAGTATTTACATTTTTAAATATTTACAAGAAAGTTAAAAATATAGAAATAGCGTAAGGTCAAATTGATACAGAAAGCATTTTTGATGTAACTAAAGCATTTATTGATAAACTCAAGGTATAATATTACCGTTTAGATTTTTTTTTAATTTTGGTGTCTATTTAAAGTATATATAAAAGGCTAATCTTACGTTATGTTGCTGGTGAACATTCCAAACGAAAAATAAATAGTTCCAAATAACTGTTCTATACCATAATGGTAACGTAGGTACACAACATTATAATGTTTTACGTAAAATAAAACCTTTAATAGGTTGATTTCAATTTACTGTTAGTACTATAACAGATAATTTGATTTGTATATAATGAAATAAGAACTAATAAATTGTTTTATAAGTTTATTTTCAATTTAATACATGTCAAAATTATTGACAATCTATACCAATTTTGTAAATAATCCTTACAAAATCCTTAGAATTTTTTTGATTTAGTTGTATAATGAACATTCCAATATTTTTTTTAATATGGCAACTCTTTCAGGATCTCCTTTAGACTTGATAAAAGTTTATTTTATTTTTTTAGTTTAGTGCTATTACTTTTATTATATACTTATATTTAAATACTTGTTCTCTCAGAAAAGTCCTTGCTAAAAAGTCTATGGACCAAAATTTGTGACCAAATTTTGTAAAAACAAATAGAACCGGCCAAATGTAATCATATAATGTTGTTATCGATTCATATAATTAAGTTTATTTACCCATCCCATACAAACTTTGAATTCAATTTTTTTATATTTTTTTTGAATCAATTTCAAATTTCAAATATAAGTTTTAGCTATACCGACCAAGCAGGCACGTAAATTGAATTTTTGTGGATTGAAGCTTAATAGTTTGGATCTGGACAAAATAGTCGAAAATGTAGTTTTTGTAAATATAAGTTTTATGCTTAATTTTTTATTGAAACAGTTACACACATTAAAACTATTTAAATATATTATAACTAAATAGAACAAATGCACAGCGTTTAGTAAAAGTAATAATAATTAAATATAAATACAAAATAAAATATTTCAATAATTTATATTGTTGTACTGGTTGTCCAAAATATAAGGATATCAGATTTTTGAGAGTTGATAATGAAAAAAAATTATATAATGAAATTGATTGTTTATTCGCTAAACAACACTACCTACCTGGAAAATTATTGGGAAAATAATATGTTGTCCTCGATCGGAAATTGGTAAAAATACGTTGACACATTTTTACCGAGACTGCCGCCATTTCCAATGATATATTGTGCTTCAGAGTAAGGCTATTCGGTTTGTTTTCTTATACCGTACTTTTTTGTTATCTATATAAAAATAAAGAGCAAACGGATCAGGATTCCTCGGGGCCAGTTTAGATGCCTCTACGAGAAATCACTTTTTTGGGAAAAATTCGATTACAGCCCTAGTTAATATGTCAGATATATGTCAAGTGCCAGCCCCATTTTGCTGAAACCACGTTTGATGTGAGTTTTTATATACATTTTTTATAAAATAAAAATTGAGCACACAGTCAATCCTATTAATGGCTTTAACTCAGAGACACTGTCACATCTAACTAAAATAAGAAGTAGATGTGTAGTAAATCCAGAGGACTGAAATAAAGTGTCTCGTTACCTGCAAAACAGACTTCCGGTTATTTACACTCGCCATACGAAACAGCAACATTAAACTGCTATGTGACTCTGCGGTATGTTGTGAGAGGCTCGTACTGGCAAGAACCAAGCACACTGTTTGGCGACCCCTCAGAACTGTACTTTGAGGCAATTTTTGGGGAAGACCTATCTAAACAATAATATTTTTAATTCAATGTATTTTTAAATTAATAATATTCATAATCAACAATGGTCTAAATATGTTTAATAATTACGGGTTTTGTTATAATTTAGCAACTACAATTGCAGCATTCTTATAATTTAGATGTCAATACCTAACGCAAGAGTTTGTAAATATTTAATTGATTTTTGTGAATACCCTAAAGTTTGAATTTTCAAGAGAAAAAGTGCCTATTCTAAGACGGTTATTTTGTGTACAATATTTACATACACTTATGTGTAATGATATTATGTCAAAATGTCTAAGTATATTATATTATATTAGTGGATACCGTATTACCCTCATATGAGACTTAAACACCAGTTTTTAATAGTTATAAGTATATCAGCCTTAGGAGGATTATACACAACGCACAAGGAAAAAAACTGCTGCCTAAAATAAGCATTCATAAAATAGTAATTAGGGTTCATACATACATATACATAATTTATATTGTATAAAATTATTACATTATACCAGTGATTAACTGTTGTTGTTTACATGTAATATTTTATATTTATTGAAACAGATTAGATACGCAAGGGCTTTACGATTGCGATTGAATTCAGCTTAATTTTTCCATTTTTTATTTATGATAATTCTATAAATTTGGCGATGACAAAGTAAAACAGCTCAATAAACAAATATTTCTACATTTATAACTTTATATAGCTAAAATACTAATTTGATAATGCTGAGATTATCATCTCCCTTGTAGGAGTGGGCCAATACCAGGTAAAGTTTGAAACATGTTCCACTTGATTCTGTTCCTTTGAAATAACAGTCCTGTATATTGTTCCTAAATAACAGTCTGTTACGTTGGAACAAATTTCGTTAGGAACTGTCTTTTAACACTGCCATCATTAAAAAAACCCTGTTACATCTGTCCTGTTCATGTTACTGTCGCGGAACTTTCACTACATTCGTACTGTAAAATTATACCTCAGTTTAAAGATTACAGAAGAATTTTGGGAAACAAACATGAAATGTTCGGATAAATTTAATACATTTAAATTTTATTAACTATATGAGCGTTATTTTTTGTTTTTGTTGATGTCTTCATTATATATATTACATTAGTTATATTAATTTAATTTGAGTCTTTATAGTCAACCAAATCTAAGAAATACATTTTGACAGCTGTCAGACTTATTGCACCAAGCATGCCAACCAAAATATGGGAACGTACAATATTCGATTCTTAAAGAAAATCGATATCGATTATTTAGAGTTGGTAATCATTTACAGTTTGGTTTGAATAATACCAGAATAAATTTAAAACTGATAATTTAAAACACAAGTATTTATTGTTACTGCTTATTTCTTATTATGTTATAAAAATTTAAGATTGAAACTAGATTAAAAATAAATTTATTCAATCACTTTCAGTACAACTAGTAGAGATGTCGTTGTTTATATTAATTATTATTTGATTTTCAATAACGCAGTCAAAATTAATGTCTCTTTAAAAGTCATCCATAATCAATTTTTTTTGTTTTTTCTACCACTTTTGCCCAATTATCCTTTTTGACATGAGCACATGCTTCAACAAATATATTTTTATAGCATTGGGTGACAAACGAGCACACAGTCCACCTGATGGTAAGTGGATACTATGGCCCATAGACATACATATTTATCCTCATTTAATAATCAAAATGCAAATGCCTTGTCACCCCTGAGGACTAAGATGGAATGCCTCGATTCCAGTAAAAAGGGTCGCCGGTTCTCTACACTCACCATACGAAACAGCATCATTAGGTTATGCTATATATGCTGCTATTTTACGCTGGTGTTCTGGGAGAGCGTGGTCCTGCCCCGGTTGAGCCGACCCATTCGTGCTACAACTATAATATAGATGTAGCGTGGCTCTACCACGTACAAAAAGTTATTATAGAAGAAACAGTCCAAAAAGTTAAAGCCGAGTCACAAAATTACGCACAGTAAGCTCTCGAAACAGAAACAGAAACTTTTTTATTCAATATAGATTATGGATAATACTTATTGAATGTCACTTTTTTCATTTATCACCGGTTCGTAAAAAAAACTCAGCTCTGGGAAGAACCAGCAAGAAACCCAACGGGACTAGTTTAAAAAAAATAAGAGTTTACAATCATGCGTGTTACAATTAACAACACAAAACAAATTAGAAATAGTTAGATACAGATAGAGGTAGCGATCACCCTTCCCGGGGGTTATTACATCCACAAATTCCTTAATATTAAAATAACCCCTTTTATACAAACCTAGTTTAATAAAGTTTTTGAACTTTGTGTACTTACGTCAAATTTTGTATATTTTCTGGGATTTTGTTGTAAAAGCGTACCTATATATCGCCCCAAGAATGAATTACTGACTCTGTAGTGAGTAACTGGTACCGAAATGGCGGGATATTGAAATTATGTAGTGGTTATTTTTGCAAGGCCGTGTATATGAGTTTTTTGCCTACACAAATTTACTTTGACAAAGTAAAAAAATAATCTTGTTTTATTCATGATTCATGTAATTTAAGAAGTTTTGGAAATAAAAATTAAATTAAACAAATAATACATTTAAAAAAATAATGATCGGATTATTTGAAAATTTTTACCGATTATTTGAATATTTTGCCGATTATTCGCATAACAATGAATTTCCAAACACTACGGTAATATACATAGCGACATATCATTAAAACGACGTCAAGTAAAAAAGTTAATACTGGTTATTTTTTAATATCTTGCTTTGTTTGAAAAAAATCAAATTTAAATTAGTTATATAAAAAATAAAAACAATGTAATGAAATATAGATAACTTCGTAATTCTTCGGATTTATGTAAAAGGTTATTTTAAATCGTTTGAGTACGCTGGTGAAAAGTTATTGCGGAATGATTAATGTGAAACGTCAAAAGTTATTTCTTAGATTTGG